ACCTGGGTGTGATCACCTTCTGATAAGCTGGGCAAGGAGACAGGAAGATCTGAGGCAAATTGACCTTAAAACTTCTTTTCCTGGTATATAAAATGGATTTAAAAAAAAAATCGGCCTTGCCTGTATCATGAGGTTTTATTAAAAATATGAGGTGATTACTATTTTGGCCCACAAACATGGACTATGCACTGGATTTGGGAAGACCAGGGCAGAGGTGGTTGCAACAATCATTACTTGCTTTGGGCAGTGGTTAGATTTAAAATGTTTTGGGGCTAGTTGGTCAGTCAGCCATCACGGAGTGTCTAATGACTCAGCTGTATTTTCGGAGGGTGGTGACTATCTGTACTTCTGAGTTGGAGAGTAAGTACAGGGGTGATCTTGGAGGCCTGGTGAGTTCCTCTGTAAAACTGGTGACAGTAATGGCCCTCACCTCAGAGGACTCTTGTGAGGTGGTCCTGATGACTGGTGTGTGGCTATCATTTGCCAAGGCTCTCCGCATCAGAATTCCCCGTGTTGGATTTAACTATGCGTCCTAGCGTTCTGAGCTCTCTCTGGATCATGGTTGTGTTTTCTCCTTGCTTCAGGTCCTCCTCCAATTTGTTACGCCTGGCAGTCATGTCCTCAGCCGCACTGTCAAGGGAAATACTGGGTGGGGCTGAGGACAAAGGCCAGGGCTGCTCCTCTCAGTTACTGCCGGGCCATTCCTTTGCTTATTTGGAACAGGGTCATTTAACAAGTTATTAATCTACTTCGTCAATGATACCTCAGCCCTGACTTCCCCACCTTGTCCCTGAGAATAATTTTCCAAATGCTTTGCTGAATCTACTTTTTTTTTTTTTTTTAAAGATTTTATTTATTTATTTGACAGAGACACAGTGAGAGTGGGAACACAAGCAGGGGGAGTGGGAGAGGGAGAAGCAGGCTCCCCACTGAGCAGGGAGTCCGATGCGGGGCTCGATCCCAAGACCCCAGCATCATGACCTGAGCCGAAGGCAGATGCTCAACGACGGAGCCACCCCGGCGGCCCCGCCCTTACTTTCTACTGACTCTGGCTCTTGTCCCTCTTCTATCTCGTGGACTGACTTCAGCCAAGTGGCTCAGAATGACACTGCTCTTTATTTTAAAACAGACTGGGAGTTTGAATCTTTTGTTCCAAGGCTGTTCAAGAAAAGCCTACAGATTTGGGAACTAATACAAGCCCACAATGACTGATGGAGTGGTTAACTTTTCCCTCAAAACAAGCAGCAGGACTCTAAAGTACATGAAGTAAAAGGAGGCATAGGTAGCGTTTATTACGGAAAAAAACCCACAAAAACAAAAACATCACCATTGGTCTGTTTGCAGAATCCGGTTAGAGGTTGATACCCTTGGCCTTAGGTGGCCAAGATGTTAAGGACATATCAGGCAGAACCTGTCCCAACTGAATTACTGCAAAGAATAAGTAAGTAAGTGGCCTCTTGTAAGCGCCTCTGTGTTCTGTGCTGAGGACACATCACGTTTCTGTTGGGAGCATTCTACTCAGTCCAGGCTGCAAAAAATTAAGGCCTACATTGACCTCATAGAGAATGGCTCAAGGAGGCCACTCCTTAAACTTAACCAGGGCGAGGCTCACCGCTGGGTCCTGCCCGGACATCCCAGAACTTGCAGATGTGGAAAACTGCTACACACGCTCACCCATCATCCCTGCTTTGTACCAAGTCCTTCAGTATGCACAGGAAAATGTCAAGACCCTGGACTGGCCTGGTTTTATGGTAAAGATCCTATTATCTATGCAGAATCCACTCTATTTTTGAAAACCCAGACTAGGATTCAAGTGCCAGCCCTCTCTTCACCCCTCAACAGTAGAAAGAGAACCAGTTTCCTCAGTGATGAACTGGAAGCATTTATAGAAGCTGTGGTCATTTCGATAATCAAAGCATGTTTACCTGTTTAAATCTGGTAATTTTAATTGCATTCTAACTCCATGAAGACTGGTAGATTGTGTGGAGTACATCAAAACTCAACAGACCAGAGAAGTGCCTAGTATTCATTTGGTTCTAAATAAGGCACCTTTATTCCCAAGGCTCAGAGGGGCTTTATCACTAACTGCAGGCCACATGTGGCCTTGTGAGGCTAACTGCTGATGTGGGAGTCATTTTCCTACCTCTCACTATTGAGATCATCTTGGTATTGAAAGCCTTGGGGAATGTACATTTCTATCTTTAAGACGTCCCAGTTCTTTAGCTGCTCTACTGACTAAACCAGAACTCTTCTCCTCCTGTCTTTCCTTTCTCTGTTTTGGCAATTGTTCAGGTCAAAAGCTGTGGCATCACCTTTCAGTCCCCATCCTCTGCATGCAGGGTGGCAGCAGGTTCGTCCCAGCCACCTAGCCGGGGGCCCTGCTGGCGGATCAGCTTCTTGAAGACCATGGTAAAAGCCGGACCGGATGGCAGCAGGGAGACCCACTAGGGGACATCCAGTGGCACAGGACCTGATTTGCCCCTGTGGCTGTTGAAAGGAGCGGGGCAGCGGAGTGGGGGAAAGGTGTTTCTCCATTCCCCAGCCTTCTGGGTAGGCCTGGGGCTCTGGTCAAACCTGCCAACAGCCTTGGGGAGGGTGACACTCTTTCTACCACTGTCAAGCTAGCAAGACCATGACTTATCCAAACAGTGCTTTGTCATCTAAGAGGCCAGGGGTGCTCCTTCCCACATGAGCAAGTCCTTAGCCTCTTTTGAAATGAGGTGTCTGCTCTCCCCAGGAAGCCTGTTAAAGCTGGGCCCAGCTGCCCCAGGATGTGCTACTATAAACCTGCAGAAACACCCCAAACAAGCAAGCTACACCACCAATTGGAAGAGTGAGGAAATCCACGGTCTTCAGTGGAAAAGTTTCAACCACACAGGCTAAAAGTTAGATTACAAGTGCTACGCATCTCAGAAAGTCCAGGCAGGTTGAGTGAACAGTCTCATTAGAAGGTGGCTAGGTAACTTGCCTGGAGCAAGAGTGTTTGGCAAGGCAAAGGAACTGGCATTCAGAATCCCAAGGCCAGAATGCTGGCACATGGCCACCTTGCTGTCCCCCCTCCATCTCTTTGTCCTCTGGACACCCACTTCCTCTCTTTCATGCCTCACAAGGCAAAAGCCCGCTGCTTGGCAGATTTCCCACCTCCTGGTCTCAAGCCTTATTTCCTCTCCTAACTGGTTCCGTTTCCTCTGTCTTCTTGGGATCTAGTGAGAATCCCAGGACTCTGGGGGAGCTGGAGCAAGCTCATGGATTCCTCTATTTCAGGACCTCTCAGGAACACTGTTCACTTGCAAACCAGTGGCAAGTTACACAGTTCCTACTTGACAGGGGCTAGACTTCTTGGAACTTAAATGACTAGGCAGCATCCAAATCAGAGGAGCCATAAACTAAGCCTGAGTCGGCCACATGAATTTTTAATAAATACCTAAGAGCTCTATAGCACACACAAGTGATCACTATGAGAAAGCACTACATAAAGTGAGGATTTCCACAACTGAACTGCTGGCTCTTAGTAAGATTTCTAAACCATGCCACATAGAGATAATGTGCTCGGTGCTTCTTTCAGCTGTAGTTTATACATTTGGTCAGGAGCACCAGGCTTCTCCTGCACCATGGTGCAGGAAAAAGGAGCATTTATAGCCCTGCTTTCCACTTTGTCAGTCGGGTGGATCCAGTCCTACGAACAGTCCCAGCTGTGCCTTTGCTATTTACAGGAAAAGCCCAGAGTCATGGACCAAAAGCTCTAGATTCCACTTGTCAAAGGTGGAATAAAATCACTTATGTCAAGGGGTTTTAAAAGCTGGGAAGCCATTAAGGAGGTGGGCCTTATGCACGTCCTTACTGGATGGAACCATAATTTTTGAACTGGGCTAAACCACAGATCCTCCCAAAAACTCTGCACGGATCTGCAACTTCCTACAGTAACAGACTTATGCTTTCAGAGACAGCCTTGGCAACCAATTATGTTCAGCCAAGATTAGTCTTCTGACTCCACCAATCAGAATACCCTGTAAATATAGATGCTCTTAAAAAAAAAAAAAAACCCAAACCCTGGTTTTTGCTCCCTAGTGGGACACTATTTGGATTGCTACCCGAATCTGTGTACCCCAAATTGCAACTCTTTGATCCCAAATAAGTAGTTGTGCTTAATTATTGCCTCCTGACAATTTCAGGTTGACACTCTCTTGAACTCAGTGCTGTGTTGCTGAATGACCTCGTGTATGGGCACCACGTTCCCCACACGTCCAGCGTGGTAAAGCACCCCTGCAACGGGCCACTGGAGTAGGGATCAGCTGTTTGGTTTTGTTCCCCGGAGCACCCAGTGCCTGACACAGCTTAAGATGAAACAACTCTAAAATTACCACCAATGGATGGGAAAGGGCTTTGAATTCCAAGGGAAATGAGGAGGAAACAAATTATGGCTGACACACTGCTGCGAGGAGGAGTAGGCCAAGTACTGTTCTGGGAGAGGCTCCATACACATGAGGAGTTAAGAGTCCGAACCTGAAGAAGTGTTCATTCAGTCTTACAAACAGGAAGCAGTCTATACATTGCACAGGAATAGAAATAATTTCTGGGTAAAAAACCTCTTACCTGGCTTATCCGTCCCTGAGGAGGGAAGAAGCCTGAGTTCTCCGGCCAGATCTGCAGGACTTATCATAGAGACTCCGGGGCAAGGCTGCCACCTGTGTTAAAAGCCATTGTTCTTGAAGTGATTTCATTGTTGGAAATTGCCAAAGCAGTGTGAGTGAAGGGAGGAGGCTGTCCAGGCCGGTATGCACTGTTAGACCAGAGGTCTGAGCCTCTACTGTCTGCCCTGCTTCTATGGAGAAGAATTGCAGTTGACATTCTTGATGAGTGTGCTTCATGTATATACAAAACGGCTACATTCCAAGGCTCTGACGTAAATGTTGGCCTTTACCAAACACAAATGTCTACATACAACACTGGATCTGGTTAGCAGTAACGTGAGAGCTGCTATGCAGACATGACAGATTCTATTTTTGACACTTTATTGACAAAACAGAACTCCCTTCCCTTCACCCTCACAGAGAACTAGTCTTTTGTTTTTCTTATGGGTAACATAACTTACCTGTTTAACCAAGGCTTGTGCTGGCATGCTACAAAGGTAATTCAGATAGTAGCCTACCCCCTCCCAAGCCCTCCAGTTCTGGTTTGAACTGTCCCTACACAAGGAATTGTGTTGCTATCTTATTCAGAAAAGCAGAAGCTGTAATAACAGTAATGGAACATACTAGGCTTTGGATAAACTTTGTTGTCCTATTCTCATTAGCTCAAATTAGAATAAAGTTACTATGAGTGAGAGTTGCAGCATTCAGTCTCTTTAGAGGAGGAAGAGCCCCGGACCAGGGAGGATGGAAGGCGGTCTGTGCTAGAACTCTTGTCAACATTCCTTGCCTAATGCAAAGACTTCTTCGAAAACCGCAGAACTCAGAGCATCTGAGAAACCAGGAAAATAAAAAAAAGATGACATAAATCTGTATCAGGCAGGGGAGGGGAGAAGACTGTAAGGAAAGACCGAAATCTTGTGCTGTAAAAGCAGCACCCCCCTCCCCCCAACCTCCACAACAGCACTACTTCCAGAACCAGGGGAAACTCTGATGTGTCCGCTGTGGTTAATTTAAAACAAAAGGAGTATTTGTGGTTCCTCTGCCAAAGTTTTAAGGACTTTGAGGACTAGCAGCTAGGGATCCAAATTACATCCAGGAGACTCATGAGGGTATTTCCCCCCCCTAAACCTGCACAGGAACAAGGATGACAAAAAATTATCTTCCTTTTGTCTGGAATTTAGTTTTTTTATGAAAAGATTAGAAAAATCAAAATGACCAACTGCCACAATAATACTTCTAACCATTATTGGCACTTACCCTTAAATGGAGTCATTTTGGAAGAGTTCCCCAGTCCCTGCCCCTTTTAATTAGCCATTAGCATCCTGGAGGGCTAAGGAAGAACAGCTGATAAGCGGCGAGCAAACAAGTGTACCTTTGGTCTTCACCAAATCCAGAGGTTGTTTTGAGTTCTGTGGACAATGGAAGCTTCAGTTCTTTGACATCTCTAGGACTGAAATGAACCAGAGCCACAGGTGACCTTGTCTGGAGACAGACAGGGTCTTCCCATCCATCTTCTGGAACAGGCAGAGCAGGTAGGAGGTGACGGGAGCTCTGTGTGGTACCAACAACCAAAAGTGAAGATGAGGTGACAAAGGCTAGAAAGGAGTCATTTATTAAAAAACAAAAACAAAACCAACAAAACAACAAAAAACAAAAACAGCCCTCAGCAGAATTTGAAGACACAACAGAGGAACGCACCCTCCTGATCGCTTTATGACCTCATGACCGCGCGACACGCACTGCCTATGAGCTCTGTCCATGGAGAAGCACAGCACACCAGTTCATTGCACAGGTCAAAGCAGAGGCAGGTCACCTGCTGAAGGGAGAGAGCGGGACATGTGGGCCTTTCTCCCACCTCTGCTGTCAGGTAGCCAGGCTTCTCTCAGCCTCTACAATGGGCCATTTTTTATCAGGCCGGGGCTGCTGAGACAAAAGCAAGCTGACATGATCAGACTAGTTATACCAGAACGCTGGCTCTCCAGCAAAGACCACAGCACACGGTCAAATTCTAAGGGGACAGAGCAGCTTGCTGTGCCTGGAATGTAGGGCCCAGCTCAGAGGGGCATCGGACATTTGTCCCCAATACCCAGTTGTCACCACAGGTAAACCAAGACTATAATCACAACAGCAAGGACAGGATCATGTTGCTTTTTCCTTTTTTTTCTTCAAGGAGTGAGGGCATGGAAAATACAGCACACCAATGAAACAAAAGGCCAAAAAAAAAAAATACAAAAACAATAGAAAATAGAAAAATGTATTTACAAGTAGTACATTACTATGATCAGAAAGCACAAAGACACCTGCTGCTATATTACATGCATTGGTTCAAGAAGAAACTACTAAAAACCCTGCAAGGGAGAAGCCTGTAAAAACAAAACAAAAGGGCCAAAAAGTTTGAACTTTTCATCCCTAATTGGCTACACTGATCAAAACCAAACGAGAGCCCCCGGAAGTCCATGAGTATATCAGTACGAATACTATACTGGTTTTTAACTGCACGTTCAGTTGTGGAGGGGAGAGACAGCAGCGTATCCATATACAAGGAAGCCGGAGTAAACTGCTCTACATGCTAAAAATTACAGCAAGTCCCTGTCTGCTACACAGCATGATCTTAGCAGGTTTTAATTCTTGTTTATTCATATATATTGATGTGTGCGTGTGTGTATGTATAAAAACCGTGCCCTTGTTCACTGCCAACACAACATCTGGGTGGACATGAACTCATTACAACAAATTCTTGTGTATGTTGTAAGAAGTCACTCAATGTCTGTGGATTTAATAAGTCACTTCACACCACAGAAAATATTTAATAAATCCAGAAAAAGGAAAGAATATAACGACAGAAGCTCTTCTGTCTCAGTTCTCTGAAACGGAGTCCCCCATAGGAAACTGGTCCCAAAGTTCTTGAGGGTTCACTGAAGAAACTTCGGTTTGCTAATATTTTTCATCCTTTTAGTGTTCAAAAGGTAGAGAACGACTCCTCGCCGTGGTCAGTTTTAAACAGTCATATCTCCAACCCCCACAGGTAACAGTCTGGTGCAGGTTCATAAAAACGGGGGAGGAAGGAGCGCTGGGGAGGGCCTGTCACTTCAGGAGGGGATCCGCCTCTACAACGGCAGGAAGAGAAAGAACCAAGCAGGGCTCCAGCACCTCGCTCCTGCAAACAAGCTCCCTGCAAACGCAAAATCCAGTCACACGTCAGTTCCTTATACAGGTACATCTCCAAGTACCAGGCCAGCTCTAAGAGGAAACAAAACCACGCGTTGACAGAAAAGGACTCAGATGGCCATTCTGGTCACTCTCTGGGATCCATCATACTTCCAGGAATCGGGAGCTGCTGGACTTGGAGTGGAATGGCTCAGACCACATTCGCCGAAGGTCACCCTGGGGAAGAAGGAACTTTACTAAGTTATGGATTTAAACATGAGCCACACACATCTATGAGTCCTTTCTGATTCTAGATCTCAGATTAGACAGCTTCTGTGGAGAATCAAAGAACATTCAAATTTTACTCACTGAAAAGTAACCCACCATTCCTTGAAGAACTCACTAAAAAAGCTCTTAGGCCCCTCTAGCAAAGAAGGGTGTGAGTTCTATCATTTATGGGTGAGATGCTAAAGCCAAGTTAGTTTACCTCTCTGCTTCCTCCTCTATAAAACGGGGATAATACAAATCTTGTAAATCAGGTAATGCTTCAAGTCTAGCTATAATCATATATTTCTTAAATATCTCCCAATTTTTTTTTTAAGATTTTATTATCTGACAGCACAAGCAGGGGTAGTGGCAGGCAGAGGCAGAGGGAGAAGCAGGCTCCCCGAAGAGCAGGGGGAACCCGATGTGGGACTCGATTCCAGGACCCTGGGATCATGACCTGAGCTGAAGGCAGTCGCTTAATCAACTGAGCCCCCCAGGTGCCCAATATCTCCAAATTTTAATGCTGAGTATTAAAAAAGCTATTAGGTGACAATATGGTGCTGCTTTTAAGGGAAGTCTCTGTAGCTGGGCTCTAGGGATTTCAGTTAGTTCACCCATCACTGGGAGGCATAGTAGTCTAACTCCCTAGCATTTTCTGCCAGTGGCTGCAACAGGCTGGAAGAAGTTGCTAATACCAGGTGAGCAAAGACTCACCGACCCACCATCAAGGTCAAGAGCTCCGGGGGCAGACCCACCTCTGGCAAGGAGAATACATACCCAAGTCCAGGGTCAATGCCAAGTTACTGCTTTCACAGGTTTCTAACTGCTTCTCTCACCTTTAAATAGGCCATCGTGAGGAGCGGCAATAAGGTGAATGGCACCAAATAGAGAAGGGCGGGCTGGGCCGCTCGGTGAATGCGGGACGCCACAGTTGCAGTGAGCAGACCTATGAAGGGAGACACATTCGTGAGCAACACCAAGGTGTCAGCCCTCAGAGAGGAGAGCCTGCTATCTGGCTGCTGCCTGCCAGGGTCTTGATCAGACAGCTCTCCTGTGACGCCTGCCGTCCAGTGGGATGCCCAGTGAGGGGCCCAGCTTGTGATCTCTGCCCAGCGTGGAACAGCACAGCTTTGAAAGTCTTAAAATTCCAAGGACCGGTGAGCGGCCCAAGCCCTCACTCTGCCCTGAGTGTGCCTGGTCCTCCTGTCTCACGTAGTAGGTAATGCTGGACTCAGAGGCAAAAGAGCTGGGGTCAAGTTCTGACTATGCTGCTTCTGCAAGCGGTGTCAGCTGGGTCGTTGTGCTTCACCTCTCCGAGCCTCAGCCTCCTCTACTCTGCAACGGGGCTAATGCCACTCGCGCCACCGGTCTCTTGAGCCTGAGTGCTGAAATGAACCACCCTGCTGTAGCCACTGGGGGTGCAGACAGGTTCCCACTATTCCTATAGCCCCATTACGTGGGTCTCTCCCTGCCTGTATAGAAGTGAGCTGGCTAGAGAAAAACTGGCCCAGGGAGAGTCTGAGGTTAGAGGTGACAGACTGGTTAGATCATTGTTAAAACATCTTCCCACAGTATTCTTTGGACGTGCTGCTGGACAGGGAACTGGGCTGACAAGCACAGACAGCATCTGTCATTTCATGGGCCACTGTTATTCTTTCTCTGTGGCAGTCGACAACAGCAAACAGAGTTACTGCTCTCCTTCCATCTAGTGTCTGCAGCTGGAAGATCTGATTTAACTCCAGGGCTTGGAGGACAAGGCTCTCCGGCTCTCTCTTACCTACAAAATATCCAATGAGGGTGCAGTGAAAGTAGGAGACCTTCTGCATGCGTCCGGAGATATTGGCGGGTCCCGAGGCACTGCAGGAGTCACCGTTGGCTTGTTTTTTGTAGTTGTCATAACGAAGGACAAAGCACAACAGGAGTCCAGGCATCACGATGTCCCCAATGCCCAACATAGAGAAGTGACTGCCAGTGGAGCTGGAATGCAGTGTCATAGGTCAGGGATGCCACCCTCAACAATCCCATTTCTCCTCCTCCTGTGCAGAGTCGTCTGTCAGCTTTTTAAGAAGGTGGACTTATCTGAATGGGAGATGGAAATCTCTAGAGGTGAAACAACACTAGTTTTTAAGAGTTTAGAGATTACAAGCCACAAGAGTACTGGCAACAGACGTATTCAACCAGGCCCCTCACTGCTTCAGGAGAGCACCCCTAAAGTGACTGCTAAAGTCATCTGTTTAAGTACTGCCACCTCCAGAAATATCAAGCAATTCAGTATTTGTCACACATTTGCTGCTGTGACTTTAAACAAGCACCTGACTACTACCAGACATGGATATTAAAGCAACACAATTTTTTCCAAGATTGTATCATCAGCAATTGTATAATTTTAGCATTAAGACATATTTTTACAAATGTTTTAGAAGTAAAAAAGATCCAGATTCTCCTGTTGCTTTCCTCCAGCCAACTCTAAAATATGGTAACAGTAGTAACATACCATTGTTTGATAACATTAATAATAAAACACCTGTATCATTTAATGATAAATCTTTCCAAGTCAAATCAATATTCTCTTCTTCATTTGTAAAAGGGAGAGGATGACTCACAACCCTTTTCCAGTCTAGGATAAGAATGTTGATGACAAAGGCTAATCAAGGTTCGAACACAGAGGCACAGGGAGACAGTGTGTTCACTGTCACAACATGAGGCCCGACATGCCGGTCCTACCTTGGGAAGACCAGTTTTCCAGGCAGGGACAGGCGAGGAACATCGCGCCCAACATTGGGCCCCAGGTGGAGCTTCCGGGATAGAACGTCAAGGGGATTGTCAGCCGGTTGCGTGGCCACCTTCACCATGACATTGCTATTGAAGATGTAGGCAGAGAAAAACACCTACCAAATGCCGAACAGAGAGACGTCTTTAACAGAGGAAGCTGGAAGCAACCTGACTTCAGCATCAGCCCTCCTTGTTCTTAAGAGCAAAGTCTCAGAATACTGCACCATCAAGCTTTTTTGGCTGTAAGCTCGGAAGTGAAAGAAAATCTTTGCTCCCAGGGCAGAGAATCTTGTCTGCCTGCTCTCTCCCTCACCCCGAGAGACACACACGTACTGTTTAACACGTCTCAACAAACAAAGGCATGGACAGATGCCTGCTCACTTTTAACATGTACAGTTCAGGACTAGAGGGAATGATCTTAGGCAGGAGGTACTCACACAAATGCCCAGCCAGCATTTGGATACTTATAGTTAACTTTCAGGAATGAATGCTCCAATTAAACACAAGAGTGGTGGCTTCAGGGAAACAGACACTTACCCAAAAGACGTCGTAGATTAGAAGCCCTGAGAGAAGCAGGCAGGACACCTTGAGGCTGGGCAGGCGGACAAAGGCGATCATGGCGACACAGAGACCCATGGCCAGGGCTGGGGAGGAGACCACAGACATTGGTCAGTGTGAGCCAATGGGCTCATCCTCTTTCCACAAGCTATTCTGCTTATAAACCTAACAGTTTGTAAGTCCCCTCAAAAATCAAGCAGCTCAGTTTAAGCTCCATTTTAAGACATTTATACCCTACTTGTGCAAAGTGCCCACTTTAGACAATTTTGACCGGCTGGTCTTTGGGAACATCCCTTTTTTCATGTTCTTGGATAGTGTTCAACTGTGTAAGACCCAGATTCTGTTTTGAATGATAAAGCTCTCAGCCAGGCCCCAGTTTAGGACTTCTTAGCTCTGTTTCTTGCCTCCCCCATCCCTGAAAATCCTTCCTCCTTGCTCCTGACTTTACATGGTCTGCCCACACCTGAGATCACATCCCCTTTTATTTACTCAGCAATTCATTCTTCTATCCTGGCCTTATTTTTTTTTCCCTCGCACCTCTGAAAATCTGACATATGCGCTATATATATGTGTTTAAATTCTCTCTCCTCTCAACTAAAATGCCAGGTCCTTAAGGGCATGGTTCCCTGCTGCGAGACTAGAACAGGTCAGGCAGATGAATGGTCTCTCCCTGCCTTCAGCTCTCCTCCATTCTTTTTTTTTTTTTATTATTATTATTTTTAAAGATTTGATTTATTTATTTGAGAGAGAGAGAGAATGAGAGATAGAAAGCACGAGAAGGAAGAGGGTCAGAGGGAGAAGCAGACTCCCTGCTGAGCAGGGAGCCCGATGCGGGACTTGATCCCGGGACTCCAGGATCATGACCTGAGCCGAAGGCAGTCGCTTAACCAACTGAGCCACTCAGGCGCCCCTCTCCTCCATTCTTCTGAAACACAGGTCTGATTAGACCACATAGCTGCTTCTACACTTCCCGTGGGTTCTCACAGTGGGATGAAGGTCAAACAACTTGGCTAGGCACTGACACGGATGTAAGGGAGGGTGCTCTCTACTGTGCATGTCCCCTGCCCTCAGCATGCAGTGTTGTGACCCTGTTCTCTAGCCACCTAAATATGATCACACCTCTCAACACCACTATGTTCCTTCCTGTTCTCCACAAAAGGCCCTCTTCGGGGAAGTCTCTCCTGTTCTAATCAGATTAAGTACCTCCCCCCCGCCCCCCCATGATGCCACAGAACTTGAATCTCTCTCAACTTGTTCATCCATTCTCTAACAGTGTGATTAATTTATATAAAAGTGAATTTATTCCCTAAACTTGGTGCTCCTGGTAGACAGAAACCATGGCTTATTCTTTCTGGGAAGGCCCAGCACTTGATAGACATTCAATAAACATTTGCTGAATGAATGAAAAATTATGTTCTGTCTACTGTGAATTTCAAATTATTCTAAGGAAAGTAAGAAAAGCAAGTAAGGCCATATTACAGATGGGTATCATTTTAATAGAATTGATAGTAAATTGTCAATACATGTAGCTAAGTGGGCAAATACAGCAGTTTAGACACATCAATGCAACTAATATTTGGTGAGTTCCTACTGTGGGAATGGTGTTGCACAAACAAAAGAGAGAAACCATTCCCATCCCTGGAGACAGCACTAAAACTGGGAAGAAGAACAAACGATCTCAGTTTCCCCTGTCATTGTTATCAAGTGGTCACTAATCTCCATGGTGTGCACTGCATTATATGTTTTGGAGAGATGTGGTCAAACATAATTTCTGATTTTACAATAATCTAGGATGTGCTCATTTTACTAGGATCTCCTTTAATTTTTTATAAATTTATAAAAACAACCAAGGCCCCTGATATAATCAACTCATACCCATTTTTCAATAATGAGATTTTCCATTATAATGATCTTCAGAAACAAAGAGGGCTGTGCCATGAATCAATACACAGGACACTGACAGGGATAAGCTGGCTTGAACAACAACAGTGGCCAGTGGAGGGTGGGAAGCCCCGGGGGCAGACGCAGGGGTGATGGTGGTAGGGGAGCAAGAAGTAATCTGTTCAGGAACTTAGAAGTGCATATGTGGAGTGCGAAGTGCATCAAGGGAACAAAGGAAGAAATGAAGGCCTGAGATGGACGGACAAGGGACAGGCATATGGCCAGTGAATGTCAGCGGACTGATGATACCTGAAAGTGGGGTATGGTAACGAAAGGGACAGACAAGCAAAAGGACAGGTTCCCAAGGTTAGATGTATATGCCTCTGTGACACACGCAGGTGACTGGTCCGTTCCAGAACTTTTCAATTGATCACACAGTTACTTAATCCTAAACTGGCAGGAGCCTTTCCAGCCATACGGTCTAAGCATCCACTTGTTGCTTTGCCACTCCTCTTATACGAATCCTACCCCATGCGAGAGGAAACCACCCATGGACAAGATAGAACTGCTCAGTAACAGGATTTTCCATGACTCCAGACAATGCCATTCGATCTCTCATCTTCCAAACTAGAAACTCTGGGTCCGTTTTCAGTTTATCACAGTCTTTCATCATGTATACTCACGCTGCAGCCATTCTGGGTGCCACCCTTTGTGGTCACAGTACACCTGTTCATGCTTCCCTATACCTCCCTAGTTTGGCAGGTGTCCTTTCCCACTCTGGCTCTCTCCCGCTTACTCTTCACTGCCACTGGAAACAGTCACTGTGCACTTCCTGCATATGGTACTAGGTTCCCTACTCTGTGACGGATCCAGTCTAATCACAAGTCGCACGGCTTTGGGCACATTTCACAGGACAGTGAGGCTTCAGAGTCTGTTTTCCTTTGCTCCCATTCCTCAGCTACTCTTTCGTCTCCAGCTAAGCTGAGTGATACCCTCTTGCAGTCATGCCAAGCAGCCCCACTGTGCTGTGAGTCCCACATGTGAAGAGGAAGAAGGCATCTCCTGACTCTTTCAGACAGTAAGTATCCCTCCTACCCCCAAACGAATATTACCACAATCTGTCACATCCCTGAAACACAAGTATTCATCTAGTTTGCCTCTCTTTTTCTTCATGCTTTCATTTAAATAACCCTTCAAAGTCTTACCTCCTCCTTAGGACTTTTCCAAGCCAAAATGAAGAGGAGCGGTAACTTTCCCTCATTCCATGCTGCTTGCGAAACTCAAGACTCTCCCAAATAGCTTTACTAACAATCTTAACTTTTGGTTAAATGTAAATTAACCAAAAGTGTTAAGAGAAGTAAATTACTAATCTTAGCCAGCTATCTAGAATTACTTTCAACGTATTATATAATCTTTGTGTCACTTTGCCTTCCACGACCGGTAGGGCCAGGGACAAAGACAATAACACCGAACTCAGCGAAAATGTTCTTGAAAAGGAACACGTAACCTATAAGATCTTAAGCAGTGCTCAGTACTGTAGGATCTGTAGAGCCTTTATCTTAGCCCTATGTAGACTAAATGCCAGAGTCTAGCATTTTAAAACAATTACTAGATTTTTGGCACTGCACGTTTTCTAACCATAGATTAATAACAAGTGTATTAAATGAGGGGCTGGACTAGACATCTGTTCAAGACTTCTAGTTCCTGAACTGGTTAGTGGATGTATACTGTGGACCTGGTTTAATGATCTTTGAACAGTAAATGTGTGTGCACAAGATTCATCAACTTTTAGCTAATGTACCACACCACCCATTGGTCACATTCTTTCAAGGCTTCCCAAATTTGAAAGGTTAATTTGCCAGATGAAGGTGAAAGTAGATTAAAAAAAATTCTAGGTTTATAGTTCAAGAACATGCTGAACTCTCTTCTTACTATTAATGTTTTTTAGTATATAAGCTTGAAAATATACTTCATGCCTTGCCCTAAAACAACATTTATCACTCTGTTTTCACTCTAAATTAACTTCAAAGAACAGGCTTTCATTAAGAAACATTCATTTAAAAAATTCTACCACCAAATTATCACTGCCTACGATGATTTTGATTCTGCAGAGAAGTCTACAAAGATAATTTCCATGTCAGACAAGAACAAGTTTCAAAACATTAAAGACCATGGCTAGAAAGCTACATTTTCTTAACAGCTGAAAACAAGTCACACACACATCAAACACTAGAGTCTGAAAAACAATTTAAAAAAGCTCAAAGGTTTCCCTTTTTGGGGGGTGGGGAAGGGGGAGAACTCTATTCTTGGTCACAAGGGCAATTTAACCAGTGCAAACTAGTAGAGAGAAGAGACTCCTAGACAAGTAAATTTTGGGGACCAGCAATACTGACAGAAGGTGATATAAATGCCTACACACTGGGGTTAAGTGGGGTTTGGGTAACCTCACTGAACCCTCACGGAATTTTAGCTATCAGGTGAATTTCAGGATGGAAATGTATTTCTCATAGTGATCACTGGGAAAAGAAAGTTGTCTGCTATGGGCAGCTCTCACTGACTCTAGAGTCTAGACGAAATCCTGTGGTGCAACGGACTCTGCAGTCTGTCTTACGGGGAGCTGCTTATCTTTCTTCTGCTAGTGAATCTGGTAAGCCTGGCCCTGGCCCTGCCTGCAGAAGTGCAATGAGGAAAATTCTGCTGACTTGTTCTAAAGTATGTGTCTCAGATGGCTGTGTAAATCAGTGTATTTTGAAAAGAATGTCACCTTCCAATGCCAACCTTTTCTTTTTTAGTTACATACTACTAGAAAATAGGTATTTTTCTGTTCTTTGCAATGCTTGGGAAGAGTAGAGATGAGAGTATAAACAACACGTTGTTTGCTGCTTCGAGAGGTTATCTTTTTGGGTCAGCAGGTTGGTAAACTTAAAACTCTTAGGTTTAACCTATAAATAGTATCATGTGTGTCTGGACACATGAATAAAGAGTTCCATGAAAGCAGAGCCACCAAAAGTAAGTGGGGTCATAAAGAACCTCAGAGGGGGCTGAGAGACTTCAAGTTTAATACCATCTGTCATCATCTGGACTTTGAGTCTGCCAGCTTTGAGACTTATCAGTCTGGTTAGGTGATGACTGTCTTATATTACTCTAGTCAAAACAGTGGCACCTGAAGCTTTTGTCGTCTCATTTAACATAATCTTTGTATAGGGAGATCATTTATGTGTAATATTTATGGGACTGGGCTCTTTCATTTAAGGACATCAGCATAAAACACTTTCTTTTAAGAGTATATAGCTAACAGTCCTCCAGTCATTTTTTTTTTTTTTAAGATTTTATTTATTTGACAGAGACACAGCGAGAGAGGGAACACAAGCAAGGGGAGTGGGAGAGGGAGAAGCAGGCTTCCCGCCGAGCAGGGAGCCCGATGCGGGGCTCGATCCCAAGACCCTGGGATCAAGACCCGAGCCGAAGGCAGACGCTCAACGACTGAGCCACCCAGGCGCCCCTCCTCCAGTCATTTTAAATGGACTGAAATAATCTGGTTTAGATATTAACCAACCAGCATTTCTAAACAGTTTTTGTTCAGAAGTAGTAGAGGAGAAATATCTGTGCCGCTTGTTTCCTCATCAGGAAGCACTGGTTTAGGTGAGGTTAAAGGATATAATCATAAAAGCAGCTATGAGGCTGATTTGGATTAATATTTACCAGCCCTACTCCAATCATTATCATGACTAAGACTCCTTAATTTTCTATAACACAGATTTAAAAAGAGATTAGGCTCTATTAAAGTCTTTCAAAATGACCTATACGCTTTGGGGCACCTGGGTGGTTCAGTTGGTTAAGCGTCTACCTTCAGCTCAGGTCATGATCCCAGGGTCCTGAGATCGAGCCCCGCATCAGGCTCCCTGCTCCAGGGAGTCTGCTTCTCCCTCTCCCTCTGCTCCGGCACTCTCTCTCTCAAATAAATAAATAAAAAAAAAATGACCTCTATGCTTTTAGGTTAAGTCATTATGAAGAAATCAAGAGTTAATCTCAGGAAAACTCAAATGTACACACCTGGTATTTATCAGTAATGCCTAGTATATAAAAATAGGCATTCACTCTTCTACTGTAAGCTGGGCAAGCAACTTGCATGACTTTAGATGTAATTTCTTTTTCTCAAACTTATTCTTTATCAATCTCCAATCCGTAGGAATACTGAAAGCACTGATACTCGATTTGGGAAAATGAATAGTGCTGGTAACCACTTAAAGACACTGCATACTTCAGGATGCTTATACACATTCCAAAGCAAATGATCACAGAAATGTTTTTTACAAGGCAATTTAAGAAGCTAAAACAAATGACCAAACCTGTCAGAAATCAGCGAATGTGAATACCATACGGTCAGGCACTGGTGATTTTGACTCTGCCTTCCATTCCAACTCATTAAAGATCTCTATATAAACCTAAGAGGTAATTTGATCTGCAACCTCAAGGAACTACTTTTGAGTTTCAATAGGTTGGTATATGGTAGGCACTCAAAAAAAGCAACGAACAACTATGACAATAAATATATACAAATTATTTATAAAATTATAAATATATAATTTATATTTTATGGCAACCACTCACCTGTTCTCCATTGCTGTAATTCTTATTTTTTTTTTTAAATATTTTTTGCTGAAGAAGTTTATCAGATATTTGTATGGTTTACAATTTGAAAAGTCCTTTCTCCATAATTATCACCTTGGGTTAAAATAATGTGCCATTTTAATATAGCTTTACAGAGCTCTCAATCCACTTGATAGCCTGTTCCATCATAATATTCCATTTCACCATTTAAACTGGCACACATAGATTTCAAATCCCTGAACTAGTCAAAGGAAATTACGAGGGAAAAAAAAAAATCCCTTGAAACAAAAGGATAAGTTTTTAGTTTCCTCAAGGTTTAAACTTACTTCCTTATCAAGGTTGTATTACTGATTCTGGATTGCATACACACATGTGCAGACAGTTTAAAATCCTTTTTGTCAAATTCTATCTGATTCGACCATGAGCAGAACATTGTGACACAAATGTTTGCTACTCCTGAACTTGAGGCGCGGACAGGGAGCATCCTCTGGGTGGCTCTGTGCTTAGATGACACTGAGTGACAGTTCTACCATAGCTGAGTCATCCTCAGAGCTTCGAGGACACAGTGCCTTAGTGAACAGGAGCCTCTAAAGAGCCCTGTTTCCAAAGTCTTGATTAGCCTTGTGTTCACTTGGAATGGGTAACAGGAATAAGTGCAATCTATAACCATCATCTGACTTTCAAATTCCTCCCTTAAATATTCCTTAGATAGTATCACAAATTGTATAAAATTGTCTTTTGTATTTTAACTTCCTTCTCTTCTGAAACACCAGAAGAAAGGAAAAAGTGAACAGACCTTGTAGGGCAGAGCAGTTAGATAAAGCTTCTTGAGATCAGGAAAGTGAACTGTGAAAATGAAAGTAAGGACTGAATGAAAAAGGAGGTGGAGAGGCTTACGTGGTCTTTAAGAAAAGTTTTAAAATGTCTTAAGGGAGAGAAAAGAATAATGGGGGATTTTTGGAAATGTCCTTCCAAGATACTCTGATGAGAAGTATGAAATATACACAAGAGTTCTGTGACTGGGTAAGGGACTTCTCTGAACCTGTTTCCTCTTCTGTCAAGTGGGAACAACAGACGTATCTACTTCAAAGACTTTTCAGGATTAAATGAGATAATCCATGTAAACATCCAGGAAAGTGCCCAATGCATAGCACTCAATAAATGTTATTAGCTCCTCCTGCCATTCTTAGTTCATCCTGACCATCATCATCAACAAAGAGGGATTCTCATGCGCTACAGGCAGGAGTGTAAACTGCTACCGCCTTTCTGAAAGGCAGTACAGTAATAGAGAAAAAAAACCTTTTTTTTAATACAAAAATCCTCTGATCTAGGAATTTCCTATCTAGGAACTCATCCACAGAAATAATCATATTAACTAATCTGACATGTGTATCCAGAGGTGGAACAAGAATGTTTACCTCAGGGTTATTTATAACGAAGATTAAAAGCAATCTAAGGGTCCAGCAATAGTTAAGTAACATACAAGGGAATACTCTGGAATTAAGAAGGATATGCTATATCTTTATGTAATGATATAGACATGTATTTATATCATTACATAAAAAGTCTATCGTATGTAACACATGTATGACATATATTCCACATATATATTTATATATAATGTTATAGTATTATTCCATTTATGTAAGATAGTCTCCACAAAAACGTGTACATGAATGTTCATAGCAGCACTATTCGTAATAGCCAAAAAAGCGGAATCAACTGATGAATGGATAAATAAAAGTGGCATAGCTATGCAACTGAGTATTATTGGCTAGAGAAAGAAATGGAAGTACCAATTCAGGTTATACCATGAGTGAACCTTGAAAACATCATGCTAAGTGAAAGAAGGCAGACACACAGGTCATATAATGTATGATTTTATGTGCAATGTTCAGAAGAGGCAGATCCATACAGAAAGTAGATTAGTGGATGCCTGGGGCTCCGGTGGGGGAATGGGGAGTGACTGCTGGGTATGGGGTTTTGGAGGGTGGGTGATGAAAATACTCCAAAATTGTAGCGATGGCTGCACAACTCTGAATATTTAAAAACCACTGAATTGTACACTTATACACTTGTGCACTATTCCTCAAAAAGCTGTTATTCAAAAATATCTTTTAAAAATATCTTAAGAATGTGCCTAAAAATAAAAAACTCAGCAATATGTAATACTGCCTAAGGACACCTAATATTCACAGTAATCAGAGGAAATATTACTAAAACACAGAAAGCAAAGGAAGAGAGGACAAATTTAACTGTATAAACTACATTAAAACTTCAACCTTTCACATGTTACTCACCATCCATGAGAAGCCAATGGCCAGTGAGAACCCAAATAAGGACAAGCATGACAGACAGAGAGAATGATAGTAATTCAGCAGCAGTGAAACGCCCACAGCAACCAAAGGAAATCCTGGAAAACACACATCATTTATTGGACTAATAGGCAATACATTACATTTCAATAACCAAACTCTACCTTGGTCCTTCATGATCAGAGCTCATGATGACCAAGATGAGAATAGCAGGCAATACCCAGACACCCGGAATTCAAAAATACCCAAACCTCCTTGGAGTAAGCTACAGAAACGCAGAGGAATTAATTATATTTCTGCACCCATCTGATATTATACTTTTTATCCCAAATTATCAGCATGGATGTTTAGAAGTTAAAGTGACAACACCAATCTTTGGAGAATTAAGTACAGTATAGGGGAAGTTCTGTTTTTATGAGGAAAACAAAATGAGGAAATACTGACCGTCAATTCACTGGGCAATGATGAATACACATAAAATGGGCAATAACTCTATTTCGTTATCACTAATTCCTGGGAAAATCAGCTGCCCCAAGCGACTGGTTTCCTAAGTGCATACAGCGTCTCTGTTAGCACAGCATTTTGTTTCCATGGAGCAATGGCTTTAGGAGTTAAGGTGTGAAAGGTGTGAACCTAAGTGGCTAGTATATATTCTAGGTCACCAAAGATGAAAGGCAAAGAATGTCTTAGTCAACCACTATTTTCACATCCTATTAACTCCCTAGTAAAGGAACGAAAGCATTGCTTCAAAATAAAACTGCTCATCTTTCAATAATCTAAGCAGGAAGCATATTTCAACAACTCAGACTTCCCAAGATTTGTTTACATTTCCTCTGCTATGAAAAGGTCATACTTCCCAGTCTTAAAGATCAAACATCTCCCCCCTTCCTAATCTTCTGGCATTTGTGTGTTCTGGTCAATACCAGAAATTTAGACTCCTAACAATGCTATCAAGTGTAAGATAAAAACATATACAAATTAATAATTTAGAGGAAAATCCCAAGTCCTTACTTATTCTGAGGTGAACAGGGTCTTGTTAAATACTGGCACATCGGGAGGAGGAGGAAAGCAAAAGCTATTGTTGCAAGAACTAGAGAAAGAAAATATATGGTTAAGTTTTATTTTCAACAACCATAAGAAAAATGGCATGACTTATGGAAACACTGATAGCCCAGAAAACTTTTCTCAACAAGTAGATGCAATTAATTAACTAGAGACAAAAAAAAGTCTTCTGTTAGCACTGTACGGATCGTCTTGAGAAGAAAGAAGTACCTGATTTGAAGTAGGGGAGGCAGAGCCATCTAGGGTTTCTCATTCTCTTCTATCTTAATACGAAAAGAGAAACAGCGGGCCAGGGGATGATCTGACATGTCCAGCATTTTGCTGATGTTTTATACACTTCCATCACCTCTTGGCTTAAAAACTGATCAAGGGGCTGACAGTCAAATTACTTTGATTAGTTATCAACTGTGTCTGTCTACAGAAACATCAGTGCGGGTTACAAATGACCACTCTGCCACACTGGATCTTCTGGTAAACCTCCCAGACAAGGAGCCACAGTCACAGTGGTCCTACTCTGGTGTCATAAAGCCCACACATTTTCAAACCCTTGGTCTTTTGTTCAGGCTGTGCTGGCAGTCCCAAACTGATGATATATGTATCCAGTGGTTCAAGGAGAAGTGTGAGGAGAAAAAAACAGACTTAAGAAAAATGTGCATGGCATGGTATATAAATCTTAAGTTTTGAATGATGATTAAAAAGAGGTGAAAAAAATTCCTTTTAGGTTAATGTTTAAGAAGAGAGAAGAAACTCATTTACCTGCTGTACATATTGTAAAAACTACTTGAACTGAGTCAAAGAAGAAGAACATTACTAGGAGAGAGACAGATGCTCCAATTGGAAGGAACAGGGCCTGGGTAGAGTCAATAGTTTGGATACCTGAAAAAGAAAAAAGAACATATTAACGACTTAAGTAAAAGGCGCTGTGCCCATGTACTCCAGAGACTTTAACACTTCTAGGGTTAGTATATAAGATATAAATTATCTAGGTCCCCCGATTCTTTCCTTCCCACTGAGATTATGAACTCCTTGCTCTCCTCATGGTGCCTTCATTAGCTACCTCCTGGTGCTAACAATGGTTGACAGGGTGCCAAAAAAAAAACAACACCCCAAAACAAACAAAAACAAAAAGAACATCAACAGCTAGTAAAAATTCAGATTAGTTGGGACGCCTGGGTGGCTTAGTCAATTAAGCGTTTGCCTTCTGCCTCTGGCTCAGGTCATGGTCCCAAGGTCCTGGGATCAAGCCCCGCCTCGGGCTCCTTGCTGGGCGGCAAGCCTGCTTCTCCCTCTCCCTCCCTCCACCTGCAGCTTGAGCTCTCTCTCTCTCTCAAAGAAATAAATAAAATCTTAAAAAAAAAATTCAGATTCGTCAACTTCTGTACATTTGTAGTCTCATTTGCAGGTCTGGTAAAAGAGACGGTTTAAATCCACTGACTAAAATCATTTCTCATCATCTACGGATTTATTCATGTTCACTCTTCCCCACTGTTGCTGAGGATCAACTCTGGGTGGAGTCGGGGAGTGGAGGGAATATGACATCTGAAAGCTGAAAATCAGAAAAATTATTTTAGGGCGCCCGGGTGGCTCAGTTGGTTAAGCGACTGCCTTCGGCTCAGGTCATGATCCTGGAGTCCCGGGATCGAGTCCCGCGTCGGGCTCCCTGCTGAGCAGGGAGTCTGCTTCTCCTTCTGACCCTCCCCCCTCTAATGCTCTTATCTCATTCTCTCTCTCAAATAAATAAATAAATAAATAAATAAAATATTAAAAAAATTATTTTAAGGAATAGGAGATAAATGGGAGAAAACAATTACTTGGGACACAGTAGGATTTAGCACATTGGTTTTCAGTTCTTGGTTACTCATTAGAATCACCTGGAGAGCTGTAACAATTACAATGCTCAGGCCCAACCCCAGATCAATGAAACTGAAATCTCTGGGGGTTAGCAGGCCCAGCTAAAAACCCCCACAAGTTTGCATATAGAGTTGAGAAGCATTAATAAAATATTTGGTAGAGAAGAGAAACATGGCAAAATCTGATAACCACTGAATTAAAAAATTACTAATCTTGTGTGTAATCTACTTCCAAATTAACCCTGCTGAGATAAAAAGTTCTTGAGAGGAGTCAAAGAAAAAACATTCATATGAGCTATTATAAAGAAATATCAGAAGCCTCTCTTCATTAAATTAAGGCTATGAGTAAGATATAAGGTGACCAGGATGAACATAACTAGGCACAAAGGGTTGCAATCATCAACGCTTAAAAACTGCTCTTTGGTATTGAAATTTACCTGTCCCAAGAAAGCTATTTAGGTATTTTAGTTAAATAAAATATTAAATATTTCTACAAAACAAAATTACTTCTTACTGGCTAGGTGGATGAGTCAAATAATTCACCTATGAATAGGACATTTCTTCTTTTTCTATTTATTGACAGAGAGAGACAGCAAGAGCGGGAACACAAGGGAGAGGGAGCAGCAGGCTTCCCGCGGAGCAGGGAGTCCGATGTAGGGCTCGATCCCAGGACCCTGGGACCATGACCTGAGCTGAATGCTTAGCAACTGAGCCACCCAGGCGCCCCAGGGAGGAGTGATCTATGTGTCAAGACAGAGATGCTCTTAAGAAGATGGCTGACCAGAACTGCAAACTACTTCACTTGGCCCCTGGATCATTTGTGTATGGGGGGGTGGGTGGGTATCTTACTTAAAGTGAAGTGTCTTATGGACATTTATGAGACAAAACTCCATGAAATCTCTAATTGAATTTCACCTAATTGTTTTATTTGAGTGCTCTACACCAGGTTAAAGAACTACTAGAGGAAACTACAGATTTCAGGTGCCTTTCACAACAGAAAATAATGGTTTCTCAAATGAATAATTGTTATATGAGAGACAAATCTTAAAAAAAAATTGTAAATCTTAAAACACACATCCACACCCCCCTCTTTTGTAAAACAAAACATCATATAGTCTACAGATTAATTATATTGGTTTAAAATATGCACCAAAAATTTAAATGGCTGGCTAGAATTTAGTGAGTCAGGTATATGAGAAGTATTTGTTTAAAAAATCTAGGGCGCCTGGGTGGCTCAGTCGTTAAGTGTCTGCCTTCGGCTCAGGTCATGATCCCAGAGTCCTGGGATTGAGCCCCGCATTGGGCCTCCTGCTCCGCAGAAAGCCTGCTTCTCCCTCTGCCTCTCGCCCTGCTTATGTTCCTTCTCTCGCTGTGTCTCTCTCTGTCAAATAAATAAATAAAATCTTTAAAAAAAAAATCTAAATTTTAGAAGTTCAGTCTCCAATTAAGGTGCAAAACCGAATACAAAGAGCTTTTCTAGAATATTAGATAGAATGCACAGATTTTTGTTTTTTAAGAGTACAGATTTAAACCAAGAGGTATGAGACACTGCTTCCATTAGTTTTATATGCCCAAGGGAGTTTACCAAACAGCAATGTCACAGGGCAAGTGAAATTCCTTTAGTTGCTCACAGTATGTTCCTGAAAAAAATGTATACAATTTTAATATTGTACTTCCTAAAGGTCTGGAGATAATGGTCCTGTAGGGGATGGAGCTAATTAATTAGAAATTTCTGCCAAATTTCAGTGACTTCAAAACAAAGCAAAGCAAAACAGAGTCGTCATAATTAGGAGTTACTCAAATGCAGTTGGCATTACCTTTAAAGCCAAAATTAACATCAGAAATAGGCACGGTTTTCTCTTCAAGGCGGACCCTAGAGATAAGGTACTTTAGGACAGTGGCAAGAAGCTGCTAAGAGATGGAGGGCAGTCGCAAAAAAAAAAAAAAAAAAAAACAAACCAAAACAAAAGAAAAACAGGCATGGTGATGGAAAATATTATCACTATCACTATCACTTCATTATACAGAGAAATTATTTTTAGCATTTAGTGAACAAGGCTATAGGCTAAATATAGGGTCATGAAATAGATACTGAAAAATATACACCAGCATTATTATTGATAATTACTAAGAAAGTTACCGATTTTGCACCTCCATGAAAGAAGCATGCTGAAATTTCCACTATTTACTGAGCACCTATTACACAGTAGGTAACATGAGGGCTTCAAAAATCTGTACAATCTTCACAGTTCAGATAAATTACATGGGAAGCCTGGTAAAGGACTTCAAGATGTCAGATATTGGGGGTAAGGGTGGGAGTTGTCCTTTTTTTAACCCACTTAATACTGATTAAATGAAGGACTGGTGTGCCAAGAGGAAAAATCTATAGATTTTTGGGGGCAGATATAGGGATGAGACAGGATTTAGAGCCAGGTTCACGAAAATCAGAGAGGACCTAGAGGGCACTCCCTCTTCCCCACTTTCTTTCTAACTCTTTTTATTGTAAAACACAACAAGCATACAGCAAAGTACATAAAACAAAAATGTAGAGTTCAGTCAATCAGTTAATACCACCCAGGTCAGGAAACCCTGCCAAGCCCAGAAGCCTTTCTTGCGCCCCTCCCAGTCCCTATTCTTTTCCCCAAAGGGAACTACTATCCTGGCTTTTATGATACTTTCTTCTTTTCTCTGTTTTATATGTTTTCTACTCAAGTGCACATCCTAAAATACTAATATTTATTTTGCCTATTTTTTGAGCTTATTTCATACATTGAATTACAGTAGCACGTATTTTTGTGTGTTTGGCTTTTTTTTTTTTTTTAAGGTTTTATTTATTTATTTGACAGAGAGAGACAGCGAGAGAGGGAACACAAGCAGGGGGAGTGGGAGAGGGAGAAGCGGGCCTCCCGCCGAGCAGGGAGCCCGATGTGGGGCTCGATCCCAGGACCCCATGACCTGAGCCGAAGGCAGACGCTTAATGACTGAGCCACCCAGGTGCCCGTTTGGCTTCTTTTAACGCTCAACATTGTGAGCAGCATCCATGCTGTTTAGGTAACTGTATGTCACTCATTTTTGTGTCTTTTTCACAATTCTTTGATTCTTATTTATTTTGGGAGTAGGCAACTGCAACCTTTATTTTTAATTTTTTTTTAAATTTTGCAACCTTTAAAAACAACTTCTACCTATTTACACTTTCTCCTTCAATCAGTTCAGAACACTCTTGCCAAAATCTGAACACTAAACTCATACCTTCCTTTCCTGAGAACTTCCCCGTAATTCTTCCACATTGTTATCATTCAGGACTTCAATCTCTTTAGCACCTACACAATCTCTTGTGTTTCTCTGTTCATCTTTCTGGCTGTTATTTCTTTGATTTTGATAAATGTACCCCATTTTCCATGCTGTCCCTTCAATCTGGAATGGTGTCATGCTCCATGATCAAGTACTGGCCTTCCCTGGTGCAACAGCCATTTCTTTCCTTGTGTTTTTCCTGATTATGTGGTAGTGGAATGTATTCTCTCCTAATCTGTGTCTATCCCTTCTCGTATCCATAGCCCAGATGAGGCACCAAGGAAACACATTTTATAGGATAATTTAGCACAACACAGGAGGTAGATTTAAGAAAATGACCATTTAAACAAACATCTACTACTCTTCAGAAGTCAGTGGTGAGAAATGAAACTGATGTCACCAGGTAACTTCCTTCCACTGTTATGAACTGACCTAATCATTTATTTGAGGATAAAATTGTACTTAGACACACAGTGTCCATTTCTCTTAGGTTTCTGTGATTCAATGTACAATGGATTTATAATCATGTTTAAATACATCATTTGCAATATATTCTACATAACACAGGACTTGTAAAGGAGTTTCAGTTGTATAAAGTGATTTGGCCTAAAATGTTGATAGAAGATAAATGCTATAAAATCATTTAACCTTAAAATCAGGTATTGACCCTGGGTTTTACCTGGTTCCTCTTAAGTTACAGGTATGGTATTTTACCTCATACAAGGATCATTGTCATAAGTTTAAGAAAAGACTCATATTTAAATGATTCTATTTGTAATGCCCACTTTACACTCCTGGGGACAACGAACACATTTAACTGGGTGAAAACCAGGCAAGTATAATTTGGCGGGAAGGGTAGTAATTAGAGAAACCGAGTGATCTCTTTTCAATTTAGCTTCTAAAATTCTCCATCAGTATTCCAACTTTACATTGGATCCTCAGTATCTCCTCCCCATTAGGGTGGTAACTTGAGGCTGTCCTGTAAGTCATGCTCATTCTCTCTGTGTCTGTTATCAGATGCTCTTCCCACCCATATTGACTTCTCCCAGCAATCCAAGTTCACTGTTTCAAATTTCAGGTCAAACTCACCTTCTCTGGGAGGGGAGTCCCTTATTAAATTGACCTATGGTGGCTCACCCTGACTTGCCTTTCTTTTTACTCTCGGTGTACATGGATGTCAAATGAGTTCATCTCTAGTGCTTACTCTGATCTAGTGACATTAGATGTTTGTTCAGAAGTACTCTGAGGCTATGGTCAAAGGGTCTGTGAGAGAAAGTTCTTATTCCAGGGACGGGAAGTGGTATTTACTATCTCTGTCTTAGTACTTTATTAACGCCTTACAAAGTGTTTTGGCCACACTGCCTAGTGATAGCTTGGGTACCAGCTCTTGTGCTTTTTCAGCTTTCAAAATATCTAATAGAATATCCAAAAAATATATATCTAATAAATTGCACGGTAGGAACCCAGTATCAAGCTCTTGATTATCAAATCAAGTCTCCTTATTTATAATTCAATTCCCCTTATAATAAGTATCACCATTTTCTATAACTCTACTGAGGCACAATATACATATGGCAAAATTTACCCATCTTAAGTGTCTAATACTTGCCAGGCAACTACAAATCCACTCTCTATCTCTCCATATTTGCCTTTTTGGAAATTTCATGTAAGTGGACTCACAGAATATGTAGTCTTTCCTGTCTGGCTTCTTAACATAATGTTTTGAGGTTCATACATGTTGTAGCATGTACATGTATCAGTACTTCATTCTCTTTAATGCTGAATAGTATTCCATTGTATGGATAGGCCATATTTTGTTTATCCATCAACTAGTTTATTATCTCTGAGTTGTGTTTCTACTTTTTGGCCATTATAAACAATGCTGCCAAACATTTGCCATCTAGCACACTTCTATTTCTTATAAAGCAAGCATTCTTTTTTTTTTTTTGAGCTAAGTTTGATTTATTTTTTTTATTAACATACAATTTGTTATTTGTTTCAGGGGTACAGGTCTGTGATTCATCAGTCTTACACAATTCACAGCGCTCACCATAGCACATACCCTCCCCAATGTCCATCACCCAGCCACCCCATCCCTCCCACCCCCTTCACTCCAGCAACCCTCAGTTTGTTTCCTGAGATTAAGAGTCTCTTATGGTTTGTCTCCCTCTCTGGTTTTGTCTTGTTTCATTTTTCCCTCCCTTCCCCTATGATCCTCTGTCTTGTTTCTCAAATTCCTCATATCAGTGATTAACTTATTTCATAAAGCAAGCATTCTTATAAAATCTTTACTATCAGAAGAGGTTGTCACAATACTTAGTTTTACAAGTACTTCAAGTAACTATCTTCAAAGAATCCCTGAATGAATTTGTGATCAACACTTACAAAATTATCGACCTCACCAAAGGATTTAAATGAAATCATAAGCAGGCAGGATACCTACCTATCCTACTTGTTTTTAAGAAAATAATCTTAGCAGCAAGCTTTTAGGCATGAGTTAAAAGCAGTACACAAGAAATCACTGGTTTAGATTCAGAACATAAGAATTTTTACAAATTATGCCAATACAGATTAGATTTTATTATTATAACCAAACATAAATCTTTAAACCCAGTAAATTAACTGGGGTTATAGAAAGAATCTAATTAAGACCACTACATGTATTAAAGTTAACTGACATAAAATTCCTTACTATTATTGGTGCTGTTGCCATTGAAAGACCCAGAAGAACTGCTACTGTCTTTCTCCTTATCTTGATTTTCAAAGTCCATATTAAGGGACCTGTGGAAAAAATTATATAAGTTTTAATTTTGAAAGAAAGTAGGTCCAAAAAGTCAGTAATGAGACTATATTTTAATATGCTAAGGCATTAGGAACGATAGGAGAGGCTCTTTTGAACAACTCTGCAAAACAGTTCTTGTAGCCACATTTTGAAAAACAATCTACATTCCTTCTAATATGTCAGTTCAAGAGTTCTCCTGACTGCAAATAAAAGCATTCCATTGTGGCTGAATCTTCCAGCCATATCTCTGTGCACATCCTTAATTACTTCCTATGATAAATATCTAGAAAGAGAAAAGTTAGGTCAAAGGGCAAGCACAATTTTGAGACTTTAACGTACTACACAACTGCTTCCAAGAAGGTTGTACCAATTTACTCTCTGATAGCAGTATATGAGAACATTTTTTTTTTCTCTACACCTTGTCAGCTTTCATTTAACAACAACATATACTTGAGTTTCTGCGTATATAGGACTGTTCTACATAATGGAGGGACAAAAAATAGTGCATAAAACACGCTTTCATGGATTGTACATTCAAAGAGGGAGGACACTGACAATAAACAAGAAAAGTAAGTTAGATGTATGTTAATGGTACCAGCTAATGAGAAAATGCAGGAAATGAAAAGACTAAGTTTGAAATTTTAAATACGGTGGGTTGGGAAGGCCTCACTGGTGTGATTTCTGAGTCAAGACCTGAAGGAAGTAGTCACTGCCCATCTGGAGAACTAACAATGCAATCTCTGCTCTAATTTTGCATTCTTTAACTACTAAACAATTTTGTGTACATGAGTTCACTCCTTTCTTTTTTGGTAAACTAACTGTTCAAGTCCTTAGCTCATCTTCAACTATATTAAAGTGTTTGTGTCCTAAAGCACTTCCTGCAATGATGGAAACATTCTATATCTACACTGGGTAGACATTAGCCACATAAGTACTTAATATGTGGGAGTGCAATGAGGAACTGAATTCTACTTATAATTTAAAAATATGGGAGCTAAAACTATAAAATTCTTAGATGAAACATAGGGATAAATCTTCATGATCTTGGATTTGGCAGTGGATTCTTATACATGATGCCAAAGACACAGCCAAAATTGGTAAATTGGACTTCATCAACATAAAAATCTTGTGCTTCAAAGGACATAATCAAAAAAGTCCCAACCCATAGGATGGGAGAAAATATCTGCTATTATGTCTGATAAGAGCCTTGTATTCAGAAGATACAAGAACTCCTACAATTCAATAAAGACAAACCAATTAAACAATAAGCAACGAATCTGAATAAATACTTCTCCAAAGAAGATATGCAAATAAAAAAGATATGCAAATGAAAAAAGATATGCAAATGGATGCCAATAAACATACAGAAAGATTTTTCACATCATCAATGTCAGGGAAATACAAATCCAAACAGAATGAGCTAGCACTTCACACCTCCGAGGAGGGCTATAACCAGAAAATCAGATAATAACCAAGTGTCAAGCAAGGACATTGCTGATGGGAATGTAAATTGATGTAGACACTCTGGAAAACAGTCTGACATTTTCAATTTCTTTAATAAATATAGGGCTATTCAGGGTATTGATTTCTTCTTGAGTGAGCTTTAGCAAATTGTGTCTTTCAAAGAATTGGTCCATTTCATCTAAGTCATCAAATTTACTGGCGTAAAGTTGTTGACAGTGGTCCCTTATTATCGTTTTAATACCTGGAGGCTCTAGTTATACCACCTCTGTCATTCCTGATACTGTTTTTATGGCTTCTCTTTTTCCTGATTATTCTGGCCAGAGGTTACCACTTTTATTGGTCTTTAAAAATTAGCTTTTGGATTCACGAATTTTTCTCTACCCCTAGAGAAAATATTTCACTTATTTTGGCTTTGATCTTTATTCTTACCTTTTGCCTATTTACTAAATTGAGTTTAATTTGCTCTCCTCCCGCCTAGTTTAAGATTAAAGTTTAGATCATTGATACCTTTTTCTTCTATTCTAACCTAGGCATTTAGAGGTGTAATTCCTCCCCTAAGTATTGCTTTTGCAGCGTCCCATAAATTTAGCGTGTTTTCACTTTCTCTTAATTCAATGTATTTTCCATTTTCCTGCTTCTTTTTTGATTCATGGAAGTGTTATTTTTGTTTCCAAATATCTGGGAATTTTCTAGACCTCTTTCTATTACTGATTTCTAATTTGATTCAATTGTGATCTGTTAGGGACTGAATGTTTGTGTCAACTCCCCTCCACTACCCCCCAAAAGAGTTCATTTGTTGAAGCCCTAACTCTCAATATGATGGTTATTTGGTGACTGGGTCTTTGGGATGTAATTCTGCTGTGATCATGAGGGCGGGGTCCTCATGATGGAATTAGTATCCTTCTAAGAAGAGATCCCAGAGAGCTTGCTCTCTCTCTCCTGAGTGTGCACACACCAAGGAAAAACCATGTGAGCATGCATCGAGAAGGTGGCTGTCTTGCAGGCCAGGTAGAGTGCTCACCAAAACCCAACCATGCTGGCACCCTGACCTTGGATTTCCAGCCTCCTGGGACTAAGAAAAAATAAATTTCTGTTGTTTAAAGCCATCCAGTCTGGTATTTTGTTATGGCAGGCCCAGTTAACTAACAGAGATCAGAGATCATACTTTTTATGCCTTGTATCCACATATTGAGACTTGTTTTATGTCCCAAAATATGTTCTATCTTGCTAAATGTTCCATGTGCACTTGAGAATAATGCATATTCTCCTGTCAGATGAGTGTTCTACGAATATCAGGTCAAGTTGGTTCAGAATACTGTTCAAGCCACGATATCTTTACTGATTTTCTGACAATTTGTTTTATCAAGTACTAAGAGAGAGGTCCTGAAATCTTCAGCTGTATCTGTGAATTTGTTTTATTTCTCCTTGAAGTCTGTTATCAGTTTTTGCTTCATATATTTTGAAGATTTTATGTGATGCATAAACATTTAGGTTTATTATGTCTTGTTAATTGATTCCTTTATCATTATGAAATAACCTTGTCTACAGTAATATTCCTTGCTCTGAAAGCTCCTTTGTCTGATATTAATATAATTAACTCTAGCTTTCTTTTGATGAATATAAGGTATATCTTTTCCCAGTCTTTTACTTTAAATCTTTTTCTAGCTTCATTATCTGTAATGTACTTTTTGAAAGCTGCAGATAATTGGATGTTGCTTTTTACTTTTTTAATTCAATCTGACAACTGTTGTCTTTTGATTGCCGTGCTTAGGCCAATTTCATTTAACATGATTACTGTTGTGATTAGGTTTGAGACTATCATGTTGCTGTCTGTCCTATCTTTTTTTGTTGTTCCCCTTTACCTGATTTCTTTTGTATTAATAGTTTTTATTTTATTTTTAAAGATTTTTTTATTTATTTGACAGAGAGAGAGACAACACAAGCAGGGAGAGTGGGAGAGGGAGAAGCAGGCTTCCTGCCGAGCAGGGAGCCCGATGCGGGGCTCGATCCCAGGACCCTGAGATCATGACCTGAGCCGAAGGCAGTCGCTTAACAACTGAGCCACCCAGGTGCCCCGATAGTTTTTTTTTTTTTTAAGATTTATTTATTTAGAGAGAGAGCACAATCGGGGAGGGGCAGAGGGAGAGGGAGAGAAATCCTCAAGCAGATTCCCTGCTGAGCATGGAGCTAGATGTGAGGCTCAATCCCAGGACCCTGAGATCATGAACTGAGCCAAAATCAAGAGTCAGCCACTTAACCGACTAAGCCACACAGGTGCCCTAGGATTAACATAGTATTTAAATGATTATCTTTTATCTCTTTTGTTGTCTTATTATCTGTAACTCTTGTTCTCTTATTTTAGTGGTCACTGAGCATTTATATTAAACATTTTTAACCAGTAGAGTGTACCTTCAAGTTACATTATAGTACTTCATGTATAGTATAAAAACCTGACAACAGTGTACAATTATTACTCTGAATCTTTGGACAATTACCATGCATTTTACTTTTACATGTTATCCTATAAACTGTACAGTATACTGTTATTTCTGTTTATACAATTATATTCTAAAAAGTTTTAAATAATAAGAAAATAGTCCTTCTATATTTATCAATATTACAATTCCTGGTGATCTTTATTCCTTTGTCAGTAGTCCTCGATTCTCTGATGTGAAAATGGGCAGCAGTCATTTAAACTTGATCCAAACACTCTGCATCTTATAAAGATCTAGAAGCAGTAAAATAAGTATGTAACGCTTGTGGAATGTACAGTGCATATCGGCAGGACATGCCTCACATTACAATTTGCCTGCTTGCTTCTTCTGTTGTTTCTTTTGAGGGTAATTTTTCTCTTGCATTTCTATCTCCTTCAATTTTGACTTACTGAATTTCTCAATCTCAGCCATATCGGGTTTGTGAGACATGGTTACAGGGACACAGAGTGAGGTGCATGAGCAAGCAGTGTCTGGTATGAGCAGTGGCTGCCACTGAGTGCCCATTCAGTGTATTTTTGATCTCAGATGTTGTTGTTTTCACCTCCAGAGGCTTAATTTTGGGTATTTAAGAGTATCTTCCATGTATCTACCTAACTTTTTGTAGAGATGAATATAACATCAGTTTTGATGTACTTCTCTGCTAATTCCAACATATGTGTCAGTTCTGGGTTGGTTTTGATAGATTATTTGCCTCATCATTGGTCATGTTTTCCTTCTTCTTTGCTGCTGCCTGGTCATCTCTGCTTGTATGCCAGACACTGTGAGTTTTACTTTGTCTCAGTATTTTTATGTTCCCACAAATCTTCTTGAGCTTTATTCTGGGATGCTGTTAGTTACTTAGACGTGGTATGTGTTCAGGTATTGCTTTTACAATTTATTAGGCAGTGCTCAATTTAGGGTAATTACTCTCTACCAACTGAGGCAAGCCCTTTCTGAGTACTCTCTACCCAATGCCACGTGAATCATAAGGTTTTCCAATCTGGCTGATGGGAGTAGGTACTCTGCTTCTAATCCTTTCACATTATTTTTTCCTTAGCTTT